GGTTATCCTAAACTTTATTCCTATATTTTTCGTATATTTGATAGTTAAGTTGTGTTTTATTATTTTGTTATCTTGTTATAATGTTTTTCGGTCGTAGTTTTTAATTATTAATATCAAGTTTGATCGTATATTTGTGTTTTAAAATGAATAAATTTGTTAAGGGTAAGACGCTACATAGTCAGACAAGAGAAATAATAGCTAATTTATATAGGTAAGTTAATAATAACGTGGATGAAATCTCATTTGGTTTATTTCCTTCTGTTCATAATAGGCTTTGCGATGAAGAAGCTACAGAGAGTTCGCTTTAGTTGCCGCTTAAACGTAAACTTGAGCGGATATTTTTTTTATACCGGAGTTATCGGCTATAAAAAAATTCACACAGAAGATAAAAAAAGGCTGAAAACTAACCCCGATAAAATGATATCCAGCTCTGGAAAGAAATGACCACGTGAGACTGCTGTCGAAAAGCTCGACGACTTTTTCGAAGTGGTTAGGAATTTGATAAATAGATTTTATCTCGAAATCAAACTCGTCCCCACAATTAGGAAGCTTTTGCAAAAATTGCAGGAAGAATCGAATTTTCCTTTTGCAGGGAAACGCTTAGGGGGTTATTAAAATCAAATGAATTTTTTTGGCGTAAATGTCAAAATAACAGATAAATATTAATGGAGCGGCCCATTATATTGCAGAGAGATATAAATATATACGCGATATTCGAAAATATAGCCAAGTATTATCTATTTGGATGAAACATATGGGTAGACAATGACCTAACCTTTAAAAACTGCTGGCGGAGCGATACAATATCTGGTGTAATAGGCAATATTGGATCTACTGGTGAGTAAAATTATATGTTTGCGCTTCCAAAGTTAACTATTTTCAAGATTTTTTTGCTGGAAATAGTTATATCTAAAATTATGTATTATAGAAAAAAAATATAGTTAGTACAGATATATAAATAAATATACCTCAAGACTCAGTCTTGATCATCTGCTGATGGCAGACATGGTTAGCGAAACATGCGTCCAGTGTAAAATTAAAAGTGTTTTGGTGTATTGTACTGATTTAGTGTTTTATTTTGCTGTGTAACACCAAAGGTTCCAACCCCCAGCTGTAATTATTTCTTCTATTATATTAACAACACAATAATAAAATGATTCAAAATATTTAAGGGAGCTTTAATAAAAGCTTTTAGTGTTTATCTGCTAACTCAACAGTGACGATTCAAACAGCATAAAGTTTTTTGAAAAAAATATTAATCTGAGTATTATATTTATGATACACATTATTTTCATATAACACCGTACGCCCATGCCTATTTTATGAATGAAATTGGGCGTGTTTTGTTTACAACTGCATTCCCCTGCCGATACCCCGTAGCTACAGATCCGTTGGTCACACTATAGTCGAACGTGCTGATCACAAATCTTATTTATTAACCAAACCAAAATTTAACTCAAATCGATCAACCAGCGACATCTATAGAATAACGGATTAAGCTTTTTTTGTGAACGGACAATCGGCACTGTGGCGCGCAAGGCAAGTCGTATTAGATGGGAGCGGTAGAGGGCCCTACTGCTCTTAACGGTATTTACGATTTCTCGGGGGTTCCCAAAATCATTTAAAGAATAAAGAATGTAAACAAATCAAAATCAACGTATGTTGTACGTGTATTCGTGTATCGTGCGTGTATCGCGTAAAGTTTTGGCACTTTTGGTGTAAAATCATTATTTTTCTTTTGTGGGAGAGTTCAGTAGAGGTCTTAAATAATTATTAAGCAAGTTTTTTAACACTTTTTGTTGTATTTGTGAGTTTAGTGTTTAATGTGAGACATTTTAAATAATATTTTGCAAGTGATAGATTTGTGATGTTCAGATTATTAGATATTTGGGGTGTATGTGTAATGGTATATGTTGGATAAAAATACTGGGTAACCAAATACTGATCAATTTTCATCAAAAGGGTAAGCTCTAACTTAATATTTAAAGATTATAATCGGTGATTGAAATGATTGAAAAAAATTCCTAATATGGCGAAAAAAGAAGCTCTTATAATTTATTTTTTCAGCCTACTCAACTGTAAAAAGTACTTAAAACATTGCGCATTTTCCTAAAATTAGTATTAGCAATGTCCACTAATATGAATAACTTTAGTTTTCGTATTTTTCTATAGAAACTTACGGTGGGTTTATACAACATAATCGTAATCATAATCACAATTTTGGTTACAATCATAACAGTTAAAACCATTATTTTAGATACGACTGTTTATACATCGAAGTCGTAATCATAAGCATAATTTAATAACCTTGAAGAGTTCGTAAATTATAAGTTTTTTAATTGTGATTACGACAAAAATCCGTTAGGGAGCATTATTTTTTTTTTTATTTTTGTTTAATAATTATGATAATTTTCGTGTTTAAAAAACCTGAGTAATAAAATTTAAACAAAAATACACTTCTAAAATGATTATGAAATAGAAAAATAAGAAAATTGGGTTACTTTATCAGCTGTATTTACATTCCAAGTTATGCGAGTATGTTGTATAAACGCATATTAAAATTGTGATTGTGACTGTGCTTATGCTTAAGACAAAAATTATGATTATGATTACCACTATGTTGTAGCCCATTAAAATTATTACTGCGAATTTATAAACATTTCGATGTGGGTATGGTAGGAAGTGGCAACATTGCATTCTCTCCGAGATTCTCTCTATGCATGGTAAACGAATTTCCGGAGGGTGAACAGTGGCACTCAAAAGTTTTTCAAAATTTCAACATTTTTTTTTCGCAAAAAAAAACTCATATGCGTGTTTCTGGGGTTGATCTACTACTTTCTGGGACACCCTGTATTATCATCATTTCAGTAGAATACATGAAAGTTTTTAAAATAGCTTATATTTTTCTACGCACATTCTCCTACAAACGAAAAAAACCGGCAACACTGTATGCCGCTTTTGATTTTGTTTCTCTGTCTGTTAACCGGTCATTTATATTATTCTCTGTCACATGCATTAAAATCCAGACCACATAAATTGAATGACCGGCAGGGTATGTAAAATCTGCTCAAGAATTTTTTTGGAAAATTCGAATGAAATCCAAAATGACGAAAAACTAGATGTTCAGATACAGTGTGAGTGAAGTCAAGAGACCAGTTATTGAGGACTGAGAAATAGGAATATTATTTTCGTACGAACTTTACTGCGTTTTTCAGAAAACTGTTTATGTTTATCTTTGAAGTTCTTTCTAACAACAGTAACAGCTGTCCGTGAATCATTTGAAGTCCTTTTGTAACGTTAAAACTACGATATGCAATATAAATAGATTCTAAAATACTTGTTTTCTTGGTTAGATACTATTTATATTCTTCATATTATGATTTACCAACGTTTAACAAGGAGACCAAATATATCACGATGAGTTGTGAATTTCAAAAACTTACGATATACAGTAGGAGTAATGTTTGAACTAAAATATTATTGGACAATAAGATCAAATCGATAGCGATTTTTACACTACACGTTCAGATTTTATAACAGATAATTTCGTCAGTCTATAGTACACTTCCCGCCAAATCTGTGGTCCATGCAGTTAAACAATGTTGAAAAAGCGCAGATCTCATCTCTTCGATGAGATCTTTGTTGAAGCCGCCACTACACGTTGAGATTTGGTTTGGTTTGGTTTGATTTGGACTGAATCGAAGGAGTATACAGGGTGTCCCATTTTGGTTGATATCATACAGTATCTCCGTTATTAGTAAAGATAGGAGAATACGGTTTGCACAAACCTGTTCCATTTTTTTTTTGAAACGGAGGATGTGAAGTGAAAACCGCATCTTTGTATCTCTACTAATAAACAAGAAACCCCATAAAACATACGAAAATGGGACACCCTGAACATGTTGTATAAAACAAAATATTAGTTTGGTTGTGTTTTTCATATAAAATCTCATCGATTGCCATTTCTAGGATAACTCCGAAGCCTTTTTTTTAATCATATAATAAGTCCCGTATGACCGAAAAAATCGGCGTCCAGTTGACTTGCAAATGACGATTGATGACATTCCCCATATAATTTTACATATAAAATGACACCGATTTTCATTTCATACCCATCGCTGACGCCGTTTTTTTCGATCATATTGTATTTTGTAAATATCGCTGGCTATAACTATCTCAAATACAGGAAATCGGCAAAAGGAAATAAAATAAATAATTAAAAATATAATTTATTGCTTGGTCATCCTGTGACATAGAAAAGGTATACCGGGTGCGTCTCAAAAGTGGCTCACTCCTGTAACTTTTTTTATTTTTTCATATAAAAAACATGATATACCATATGTTACTATATGACATAAATTAGGATTGATTGACGTATTCAGTTGTTTTCGGCCACTTATTCGATAGAAAATTACATCCTGAATAGAATGACATATGACATGTCAATTTTTGACATTTTCGCTTAAAACAAAATCGTATTTTAAATTTCAATCTTGAGTGCCATGGCTGTGTTAAAAACACTAATTTTTAACCAAGGAGCTTTAGAAAAATATATTTGATCGTCTAATGTTTTTCGTATCTTGTCTTGGCCGGTTAAAAATGCTTAAATCGTATTTTTAATCATATCTCAATTTTTTCAAATAGAACTCATGGGTGGCTCATTGGCATATTTGGAAAAAGCATTTTTTACGAATAATTTGGTACCAGACACTTGGTATTTCGAGTCAAATTGTCGTTATGAACCATGTGTTACAATCTTTTAATAGAGACGCACCCGGTATTACTATAATAAATTTTAATAAATAATGATATTATTGTACACTTAGAGTCGTTAAACATCAAATCACATTTTAGGTGTTTCAGAGAAAAAAAAATATCTCGCCAACAGATCCGATGTTTTTGGTACGTCTCGTATATTCCGCCTTCTCGATCTTTTTAAAATACCGCAAAGTTGTTCCGCCAACGTCAGTATCGAACTCTCGAACAGTTGCGAATTCATCCGTGTATTCTAGATTTCCATTGGCGACGTATAAAATACACGATCGCGTCGCGCTGCTTTTAGATATACGTGATAGTTCATCGTGGCGCCGTATATTTAAAAATCGAATTACGTTTAGTGTTGTAGTTAGTAGTGTTTTCAACAAAAAAGAAACTTGCTTTACTCTCTTAGTCTTGTTTATTTTTTATTAGAGAGAAATAAACTATACTTTTGGTACTGTGAATTGTTTCCAAATAAGATGTCCGCGGTGGATACAATAAGGGATATACCGGTTATTGTAGAGCATAGGAATAAATGTGACATAGATCCTATGACTGTAGATCAGGAGTATATCGATGTGAGTTTTATTAACTAATTTGTATTAATGATAATAATACCCTATATTTATTGTAAATCTGATTAAGGTAATGGCTTCAAAAGCCGAAGTCGAAGCAAGTTTCCTTAACTTTATTAACATAAGTAAAATGGGTACTATTTAAAATGAATTTTCCTAAAATTTTCAAATTATTTTATAGATTTAATATTACTAATTGTTTAACAGAACTAAGTTTACAGAATTCCTATAGGGAGATTGTTGTTTAAATTTTATATACAGGGTGTAAACGAATTAGTGCGAAAAAATTCGGTAGATATTTTTTTAGCCGACCATACCAATAGGTAGGGGTAGACTTTTAAGAAATTAAAAAAGTTATTTAATTTCACTCAAAATGAGTTATTTGGGTCATAAATGACCTAAATAGGTACAAAATATTTCCATGGTGTCTGTCTGTCTGTCAGTCTGTCTGTCTGTCCGTCTGTAACACGATAACTCAAAAACCGCTAAACCGATTTTAACCAAATTTGGCACAAAAATACTGTGGCACCCGAGAATCTGGCCATTAGTTTTTGGTGGGGGTGGGGGGTTGGTAAGGGGGTATGGGCTCTGGTATGGGAGGAGGTTAAAAATTTTAAAAAATCCTAACTCCAAAATTACAGTAGCTACGCGGTTTTCAATTTAAGATTAGGAATAATATTTGCAACAAAATTTGTAATAACATCCAAATCAGTCAAAGTCGCAGTTTTTGAGATAAAAAAAATGGAAAAATTTCTTTACTCTGAAACTAAAAGAACTGCCTACCAACTTTTTATTAACATATTTTAGTATGGGCGGGCTATACGTGCCTCCCGGCGCCAATTTTTTTAAATTAAGTAATCTTTTTCATAATTTTTCACATAATTTTTTTGGATTTGGCGTTTTTCCACAAAATTAATTGGTTCTACAGGGTGAACCAAAACACAGTACTTTCGACTTTTCAAAAACACTTAATACAGAAAAAAGTTGACATTTGGTATGTGAATTTTGGTTACACGCAAGGTGAACATGATTGTGCAAATTGAAATATATGAATGATTTTTGATTTATGAGTATTGTATACGTGTATTGCCATTTTTATTTTCTCTGTGTAATGGAATAACTTTGTAGGGAAGAAGCAGACAATTTTTTATGACAGCATTGTTTATTTTTCAAAAAGGAATCATTTCCAGAAATGTTCGCAGTTATTCATTTACATCTCGTGTTCCATTTTATATGCATAGGTCATTTACTAAAAATACCATAAAAATAACGATACTTTATTTATACAGGGTGTTTCAAAAAACATGTGCCATCTCTCGTGGGGAGTCTTAATATTTTTTCTATTTATTATGATTTTCTTCCAAGTACTTTTAGCTTTTTGAATGAAATTTTGAGGCTAAAAGTTTTAATGCCGATTAAAAGTTGTCTCTTGATATTTTGTCGATTTCGGCCTCCTTGATGAGAAAAACGCAATGTTATATTAATTTACCTTGATACAAGTCTAATAGCAACCTCTAAAAAAATGTAAAATATTATTAACTTGCGAAAGTTTCAATAAGTAATCATTGATTCCTCATAAAGAATTATGAAAAAATTCCTATAAACAAGGATATGGAAATGCACAGTTTTAGTGTTACAGGATGTAAAAACTTTTTAAAATTAGTTTTTTTGTAATCATCTTAAATACCATTATTTTTTTATTTGAAATTACTGTAAGTTGGACTAATAGTAATAATAACTAATAGTAATAATATTTAATAATAAATTAGATAAAATATATAATTTATTAATTTTATTTTCTAATTTTAATTTTGTTAATAATTGTTATTAATAAAATTGCGTTTATCTCATCAAGGAGGTCGAATTCAACAAAATATCAAGAGATAACTTTTAATTGGCATTAAACGGGCTAAACAATTTTGAAATCAAAAGAAAAAAGTCAGTGGCCCACATTTTTTGTTTGAAAAATATTCCAGTGATAACCCATATGGCACGTCCTTGATGAATTTGTAGACACTTTTTTTACCATTAAAATATGTAGCACTTATACTAACTTTTACGCTCAAAATTTCGTTCAAATCACTAAAACTACTTGGAAGAAAATTATAATAAATCGAAAGATTATTAATAAAACACCCTGTAGCTAGGAAACAAAGCAATATCGGACCTATGTTGATATGAAAAATAAATGTTATTTTTACGTGAAGAATCTCCCCACGAGCACATGTTTTTTTAAATACCCCGTATAATATAACAATATTAAAATATAAAGCGGTTCTATACGTTTAATATTCGTATTCGAACAATTCCAAAAAGGCAAGAAATATGGATTTATTGTAAACAAACTTTGTTTTTTATTTATAACTAAAATACTGATCTATTTCTCTTACTATGTATGGTAGTTTGTGCGCTGACAGAGAATTTTTAGTCGGCCGACTGTTTAGTTCCAGGTTTGTAACCAATGTATTCTTATGGAATGCATTGAAATATGACACAGATGCAATCAAATAGTCAATGAGTGCGACTCCATAAGAATACATTGGTTATACAAACCTGCAACTAAAAAGAAAGTCGCCCGACTAAAAATTGTCAGCGCACGGGCTTATTATGCATGACTACGATACACTTGTAATTAGTATTACAAACTTTTAATTGGCATTCTCTTTTATGTATACTCTGTAAACCCACTCAGCTTAACCATTAATGTTATTTAAATATTGCCAGTTGACTCGTCAACACGCCATATATGGAAATATAAGTAAATTAATGATGTTTTATTTTTATTCACAAAAAAAATTAGAAAGTCTGGCATAAGTTTTTTTTATATATTAATATATAAATAATTAATATATATAATAATTATAAAAGTATTTTGAAATAATTATTTATTACTAGTACTTACTTGCAATAACAAAATAAGTAAATGAACACGGTTTTATCTTTATGTTTTTTGTTAAGTACTTGCTATACTTAAAAATAATATTTATTGAGTGATATTCTGTTTTATTTTTTAAATAAAAAAAATTATTTATTAATGAAAAACCAGTTCCATAACAAATTTATTTAAAAAAGTTATATTAATTTTCGATGTACTTAAACAGCCGTTAAACGGTAGCCTACTAAAATGCCGTTAATAGATATTGTGACGTCGTTCATGTCGGCGGAAAGTAATGCCTAACCTTAAGCATTCTGCAAGAGCACCTGTGGGTCAGTGGCTGAGGCTATCGCTTCGTAAGCGAATGGTCCGCGGTTCAAATCTCACGCCGACCAAGACTTTTTTATATTTTTTTTGCTTATAGCGTGATCTTATTGCATTGGTTTCGCTCTTTTTAGTTGGATTGGTTTAGTTATTTGGCGGGTTGGTTAGCGTGGTTATTTGGAGGGTGTTAATTCATTGGTTAGTTGGTTATTTGATGGGGTTGGTTGATTTTTACTAATTTATATTTGTTTTTTATATTTTTTATCAGTGTCGAGGTTAGTTGTTAAAATCGGTCAAGCTAAGAGTCATGTAGTATATTTTATCCTCATCTTCCACTCTATTTCACTAATTTTATGTGGTTTGTTAAGATCTAAATATATTAATGTGTGTTTGGTTAAGATCGAAATAATATTAATTTCCATCATAAAGCATAAAATTATAAATAGTAATAATACTTTATAATTTTTTGAAATGCCGAATGAATTTGACTAAATTTGAATAAACTTCTCCTCGTCTATGCTCAGATTTATGCTGGTGACGTACTCTCGACCGTCGATCGTGCGACTCCAGTGCGCGGCTACAATCGACTTTCCGACCGGTCGTGCCGCTCGCGCCGCTCGCTCTCGCCGATACCCCTTCAGTGCGGAGCTTAAAGGCTGACGCTCACTAGACGGAAGCGCGACGGAGCGCACGGCAGCGCGGCGAAAAGGAATTTTTATAATACATAGTTTTAAATCGTTTCGCTGCCGACCGCTGCGTTTCCGCCAAATGAGCGCGCTCCCATTTAAAACTATGTATTATAAAAATTCCTTTTCGCCGCGCTGCCTTGCGCTCCGTCGCGCTTCCGTCTAGTGAGCGTCAGCCTTTAAGTCGTGGAGGCTCGGTGGGCTTAGACTTAGATTAAGAATAAAAATAGATAGAGGAAGTCATTCATAAATTCACAAAATCGAGGTGCCTACATCGTTTTATCGGTGAGTGCCCCCACTACCATAGTTTATGGACAGCGGGGTAAAGAGGAAAGTGGTAGGGGAGTTTACAGCGGAAGAGCATCAAAACAGAATTTAACCTTGAGATTCATTGATGATAGTAAAGTAAAAGCCAGAGATATAGAAGTAGGTGGTTAGAGGCAAAGATAAAATATTTTTTAATAATAAATTTTAAAAATATGTTCATGCAATAAAACTAATAAATTATTATAAATACATAATAGTATATGCTATAAAATATTTAACAAACACTATAAAAAATTTGTTTATTAAATATTCAATAATTAAAAGTTAGATATAATTAAAAGATATTATACGTATTGTATATCGTATAGTGATTGATAATTGATAAACTAAAATGTTAATGGATCTATTATATAAGATGTCTTGTTATTTAGATAGTATTAATTACAAAAGAAAAATAGATGCATGTGAATAACTATTTTTTATATTAAATATCAGTAGATATTATTTACAATAATAATATAATTAATATAATGTATAATTAAAAAGCACAAAATTCATCTTTTCCTACCTATACCATAAATATATTCGGTAATTTTAAGTGGAAATATTAGCACAAAAACTAAAAAAAAACAATGTTCTGTAGTTTTCAAATTCATATTAGTAAGAGAGTAATATTTTGACCAAACGAATTCTCAGTGTAAGGATATTTACATACCATATAATTTTACATTAATTAGGTATTAATCATAACACGATATTAATAAAAAACACAAGTGTTGTATTTTAATAATATATTTAGGGACTGAGTAAAAAATATAATATATGTATAATATTCTTACATTTACAGGTTC